ACCCAATTTAATTCACAAGGCTTGGGTCAACCCATGGTGTGGTTTTCAGGCACTATCCAAATGTGCCGCATGCTGGGATTGACCCCTCAAGTTCGATAACATCCTTATTATACAATATGTCTGTGCGTATGTGTATATATTATGTATAATTATATAGACAATTTTTTTTTTTTTTATGAGTAATTTCTATATTTCTATTTCAATATTATCTCACAAAATTTCATAACTGAATCAACTAAGCTGTCAGATCCTCATATGTCAAAACCGATGGGAGAGTCCATTATTTATTTTTTATATATATATATATATATATATATATATATATATATATATATATATAAAAGAGACATAGTATAAAAATTCCTGTGAAGTGAAATGTTCTTGTAAAGACATTTACACAAAGAAAATGTTATATATTTGAAGTTACACAATTTGTAAATATTCTGTCTAGAGAAAGAGACATGTATTATATATGCACACAACACTTTTATATAAATAAAGATATATTTTATGAAGATATACATTTTTGAACAAAAATATCTTAATCCATGAATATCAGCCAACAAGAGGGGGGCATCAAAAGATAAATTTATTTATGTTGTTCACTGTTGTTTACCTCTGACATTTTGAATTTGAATGTTCTCTAGTTGCAAATGGACATATCTAAATTTTAATTTGGAAAATTTAATCAAATCCTTTTTTTTCTGTCTGCAGAATTTCTAAAATTAGATGTTGCATACACATATTTCAATTGTAGTTATGTATACTTATATAGACAGTTTTTTTTTCTTTTTATGAGTAATTTCTAAAGACTCCTTTTTCCAAATTTTGTCACTATCATCTGCCTTACATAATTTTTAAATACTGTCAGCAAATTTATATTCTTTCATTTGAATAAAACATTTTCTTAAAGAAAAAAAGGGGATAAAATATTACTGTTATTTTTTTTCACAACTTTCTTATAATTTTCAATATTTGTGTAGGTGTATATGACTCTTTTTTTTCTACTGTTAAATGTTAATTCCGTAAATTCATTTTCTAGCTTTCAAAAGAAAAAAGAAAACAAAAAGGGTACCAGGAACACCTAAATATATAATTTTATTTGAAAGTGTAAATATATCTAGAATTATTTTATCTTGAAGCATTCTGGAAAAAAGTTTATAAAATAAATGCAAATTTTCAAATATTTCATTCATTCTAAACTGAAAGACAATTAATTACCTTAAATGATGTGTATATCTACTTCTGTTTGTCTCAGACACAGTTACCTTTACAGTATTTCTGTTGCTATTGTTGTAAGAATGAATATTCAATAAAATTTTGTTTCTTGTTAAGGCAATTTACAAGTGAGCCAAATTTACCATTTTAGAAAGATTAATGGGTTTTCTGAAATAAAAAGAAACAGAATTAGAATCATTTACACTAAAATTCCTTGCATGACTCACTTTGACCAAATTGAATGTAACCAATCAGGACTTATTTTGATTTGGTTTTAAACGATTTACTTATTTTTTTTATTGCTGACTGACCCACAATCAATAATAAAAGTTAAGACCAAGAACCCAGTATAACTTCTTGTTGATTCCAATTTGTGTGCAAATGACTAGAAAAGCATTTTCCCTTCCCCTTTTATAGGCAGAAGCACACAAATGCATGCTGGGATTTTATCCTAGCTAATAAAATAGTTCAGTTCTCTTGTCTGAACTTACTTTTGTGTGTTACGCCAATTCTTAGTTTGTTGTCTTTTTACTGTATTACTGTTGCTTTGCCTTATTACTGTGCCTTGTACAAATTGTTTGCTTGTTTTATATTATTTTTGCCTTGTTCTTTTCTTGTTATTGCATATTGCAAACTTTGTTAATTCTGTTTATTGGACAGCACTGTTAGTTATTTTGCATTTGACAATGGCTATCTACTCCACACTTCTTTGAATGTGTTGATGAAAAGCCTTTTCATCCTAGTGATTTTTATTTTACTAGTCAATATCAAACATGGATTACTTTTTTTGTAAAAATATACACAAACATGTCAATTTGTTAGAGAGATAAAGTCAAATAAAGCATTTCTATCATGGACATTTTTTCCTTCTTTATATAACAAACTTTAAAAAAAAAAGATTACATCTGTCTTGTTAATAGACTTTTAAAAGGTAATAAAACTGCATTTACTCTCTATAGCGCCTTTTGTACTTTGTCCCCTTCTCAGTACATGCCATTTCACTCACTTTTTCTTACTGATTTCATTAGCAGTTGGTAACGACAAATGCCAAGCAAATATTCAGTTTATTTCTTTTGTGACTTCAATGGCTGCTCTAGAAGAGTTATAGATTTCCCCAAGTCAATATATTTCTTCATGACAATGCAGCCATTATCTTTAAAGATAAATTGGTCACAGGTAAACAAGGTGAAAGTGTAGCCTCTTTAGTAAAGATAAAAATCAGTATCATAAGCTTGTTCATATATTCTTGTCTATTATGAAAATAATGTTTTTCCACTTAAGTCAAACACATTGATTCTACTGTTGTAAATTGCCTCACATACTCATTAGGTGCTACCTACCTGCTCCTCTCTTTCTGTGTGTATGCACACACACATACACACAATGCTTATATTATTGCAATAGAAGAACTTCAGTATCTTACAATTTATTAGTCCCACTACACTTCTGTTTGGATTGGGGTGAGAGATTAAACATAATATCTATGCAGTTTGTTAATAAATAAGGTTTGAATTGAAAGCTTGATATATAATTGCTCCAATTTGTATTGAATTCTAAATATTATTGTTGCTTTTTTATCAACAAAAGTAAAATTTTAAATGTTAAATTGCTAATGCAAAGATTAGTAAAATAGAATAGGAGGACTTTTTTTCTTTGGTAAAAGTTTTTGAAAGTTAAAGTTAATTTTTTTTTTTTTTTTTCAAGATTATATAAATTTATGCATAAATAAACTATGATATAAATTTAAGCTATATTTTCATATTACTAACATGTAGAAATGTTTTGTTTGATTTGTAAATTTTAAAAGATGCACAATAAAATTGGTAAACTGTTGGAATTCGATTAATAATTATTTTCTGATGTCTTTTTTTTTGTTAGCTAGTGAAAATGTTTTCATTTTAATTTAAAAACTGAAACAATGATCAATATTTTTAATAAGTGATTATCCAAAAATGTTTGTTTCATTTTAGAGAACAGTTATTCACTAATCACAAATTCAGACAAGAACAAAAAAAATAGCAATCACAAACAAAAACATTTTGTAAAAGTTTATCTCTGGGTTTGATTTTACTCTATAATAAAAAATAAATTTCTTGATATAAGCAGCAAATGGCATTAGCACTTTTGGCTAAAATCTTCCCCAGATTATATCACCAGTGGTAATGCCAATTATAAATTCGAAAATTCTTTAGATGAAACTTCTAATAATATTATTTAAGTAGATGCAATGAAATGAAGGAATTGTTGTATCCTTTTGCAAGACATTTTATGGTAACAATAAATATTGCATTTCTTTTTATCTTTTGTCTTAGAGAACTTCTTTTTTTTTTTTGTCTTCTATCAGCATGGCTGATGCTACCCTCCAGGACAGGTTGCACTTTCTCAGGCTAATGTCTTCTTCTGACATGAAGTGGAATGATATAGTGAATAAATTGCTTGGTCTTCGGCTAGGAAAGTGGCTTCACTGTGTAGTGCTAAACACTTTTTTTGTATCAGAATCTGTCTTACTTCTTTATAAGTCTACTATTCATCCATGCATTGAATATTGCTGCCACCTCTGGTTTGGTGCTTGCACTATGTATTTAAAAATTCTTGATAAAATCCAAAGAAGAACCTGAAATGTCATCATTCCTAACTTGATATCTCCGGTTCAGTCACTTTCCTACTGCAATAAAGTAGCTTCCCATCACCTTTACAATAAATATTTTCATGGTAATTGTTTTGATGAGCTTTCCTCTTCAGTAACTCAACTATACAAATTTAAATGTAGTACTAGATTGGCAGCTACATCTTATCATTTTACAGTTGAAATTGTTAGATGTAACTTTAAGTTCATGGTAACCATTTCATCTCTTGCATTTCTTGCTTGTGGAACTCTATTCAGTCAATTTTGATCTTCAAAAATTAAAATGCTGTGTCAATCATCATCTTCTTAATTCCTGTTCTTTTATTGTCCTCTTTCTTTAATGATACTTTTTTCCTCATATTCTTTCAAACTCAGTTACCACTAGTGATTTTATTGCATTGCTTGGTATAAAATGATTTTTTTTTTTAAATACGAGAATTAAAACTTATGCCATAATGTTGCATTCCAGATGTAATGCACAGTTTTCATGAATCAACATTTGTTTCTTTTCCTTTTTCTTCTGTAATCTTTAATATGTTTTTTAAACTTTGATGTACAAATACATTATAATTATCAACTTTTTCTGAAAAATAATTGCTTGTATTGATCATGAGTTAATGCAAATGCTTGCTTTATTTAAAGTTTAAGAAATAAAGTAAGGGAATCAGGATTAAAGCAGAAATACAGTATGTAAAATGTGCATCAAAACATTCTTCAAATTGCAAATTGCATATTCTGGGGTTATTTTAAAGTTTGTTTTTGCTCAAGGTCAAAAAAAGGAGAAAAAAAATCATGTATTTTATATGCTTTGTCAATGTTGAATATAAAGCCTTGCTAAAAGTCAGAGCATTTATTTGTTGACTATTCTCAGTCATAATTTGACTTTTTATCACAAATATCCAAATACAATAAAAATGTTTATCTCAATGACCAGTTGAAAATTATGATAATAAAACAACAATTATTATAATACAATATACAATTTTATATTTAATGCTAGATGAGATATTTGTATTTGCATACTTGTGTGTGTAAGAGAGACAGAATAAAGGGGGAGTTGGGCAATTTTCCTGTCATTTAAATAAAAAAAAAACATGAACAAAAATCCATTTAAATGTTTAGTAAAAAGAAAGAGAATGCGAATTGGTATGTGCCCATGTTCCCAATTTTATATTTCCTTTCATTGCATTCTGTGCCTGTTCTCCTCTTCTATATTCCCACTGCCCCTGGACTGTTCAAGTTATATGCATAAAACTGAAACAATATTTTGTATTGCCACCTGCACCTTGTCATCTGCTTCAATAGATGATCTTTTTGTGTATTGCACATGTGTGCATGTGTATCTGCATAGACATACATATACAGAGAAAAGAGAGAAACACACAAACTTTTATAAGGGGAAAATATTTTATATACAAAACTGTGTGTCTATACTTGTTTAGTTGATGATAAAATCATAAAACAACCTGCAGGATTGTTTATGAATATATTTACAAACAACTCTGTATTTTTATTTATAATGAAATTGTTTAAGACCTGCATACAATGTGTTCTTTATATTGTAGACATCTACTTTCTTTAATAAAATACCTGGAGTAACAACTACAAATGGCATGAAAATTAATATACGAGTTTCCATAGCAACTGACAAAAGAATCCAATAGAAACTTGGTTGGTATCTGAATTGTATGGGAAGTACACATCTGAATACAGTAGACTGGCCAACCACTGAGGAATATCTGTCAAACTTTATTTATTCTGTTTGTTTTTTATTCAATGTCCAGCATTTGGCATTAGGGCAAGGTGCCCACTCAAATGCAACCCAGACCTGTTTTTACCATCCTACATAGTTAAAGCTAACTTATTTTGTAAATGAATGAGAGTGTGAAAATCATAACCTCACTGGTATCATGGATTATACTATATTATCACTGGTACCTTACTACTGAGAATAATAATAACCTATATAGTCACTGGTACCTTATTATTGAGAATGGTAGAAACCTATATTGCTACTGGTACCTTCTCTTAAAATATATATTTAGTTTTTGTTCCCCTAAAACAAGAGAATAATCAAAAATTACAGGTTTAATGAAACTGGCTGGATTTTTGTGCATTTAAAGCTTCCTCTTCTAAATCGGTGAATTTTATTATAAAGATATTATCTATTTGTGATGTGTATATACATGAATTTGGTTATGCCTCAGTAATTGTGAGTGAATCATCTGTGATTATTGATCTTGATATTATTCTCATATCTAGACTGATTGCTTTTTTTTTTTAATAAATTACTGAAATACGTGAAGACATCATTAATATCAATCAATCAATCCATTCCCTCTGGCTTATATCAATGCAAAACATGTACATGGATGGCTATGACAAAAGGAAGAGGGCAAATTGTATTTGTGAAACTGTTTCAATTGTACTCCCTCTTAACTTTGCTATCTTGATTGAAGTAAAGACTTAAAGGAAAATCAGTCACAACTGAAGTTCAACATTTGAATATATACTGAAATGAATAAAGGAAATGGTTTGAGTGTTTTGGTGTTTACGGATGCTTAGTAATAAAAAAGTAATTTACAGCTATCAATGTTACTTGGCATTGTACAGGCTATGTCCCTTTATTTTGCTCCACTCTGTTAGGTAGTCATTTCTTTGAGAGATTTCTGTAAGCCATAGAATGGTACAATTAAACCAGTTTGATAAGTTTAAATATTTTGGTAAACATTTATTTCATATGCAGCATGCTATATTTTAACTTATACTATTAGATTTTCAAAATATGCTATTAAAAATGTTGATCCAATAATTAATACTTGTAGATATTGTTTTGTTATTTCATACCAAGTAAGGCAATAAAGCCACTAAGACACATGTGATTACTGAGTGTGAAAGAATAAAAAAAATATTACAAATGAATCAAGAAGACAGTAGATAACAATTGACATCGCATTTAAATTTTTGAAGGTCAAAGTTAACTGGAAAGCAAGAAGCTGGAAGAGAGCTCCACAGGCAAGAAGTTAAAGAAAAGAAACTCTAAATTCAACTGTAAAATGATGAGACCTTGTTGCCAATCTAGTACTGCACTTAAAGTCTAGGTACCATAGAGCAAAGTTCATATGAACAATTACCATGAAAGTATTTATAGAAAAGGCAAGGAGAAGCTACAATATGGTGGTGGGAAAGTGACTGAAGGCAAGATGTCAGGTCAGGACCAATAACATTGCAGATTCTTCTTTGGATTTTATCATGGATCTCCAAATATATTCCAAGAGCACTAGACCATATGTGGCAGCAATATTGAAAGCATGGAGGAATGGTAGACTTATCAATATATAAGATAGATTCTGGAAAGCAATATTGTTTCACACAACATAGTGAAGTAACTTTCCTAGTAGCAGACCTAGCAATTGATTCAATAATCAATCCACTTCATGTCAGCAGAGAATTTTAGCCCAAGAAGGCACAACAAGTCAGTCTCCTAGAGGTTAGCATCAGCCATGCTGATGGAAGACAGGCTCTCTTAGATGATTAATAGAATGCAGTTTTGTTTTAGAGTCATTAAAATTAACAAGAAAGTTGCATTTACTTGATATCTCTGTTTGATGTAATATTTGCAATACCAGTATTTAATTAATTTTTAGGATCTTGAGTAAACAGACCAACTTTGAGCTTTATATATTAGATGATTAAATATTTTAATGGAAATATTTTTTTATTGAATCAACCTCGTGTTATTTCTCTACAAAACTGTCATGTCATAGTTGACAAGAAGACGCTGGAAAATTCTTGATTTGATTAACTCCCAAAATCTGGCCAGTGATCAGAATATTTTAGGGAAGGACTTCTTGGTTTTGGTGAGAACTTTTCAGCACTCTTTTATATCCTTGTATAAAGAGCAAATAAAATGTCTAAAATGAAGATAAAACAGAAAATGATGGGTGTGCTTGCACTCACTTGTGTGTGATATCATTACATACATGCTGGAGTACACAACTATATATGTAAGGATGCACAAATTTCACTATGTATAAGCTCATCTCTATGCCCTAACTCATTCATATACATACACAGAGACATGTGGAGTTAAATGACATCAGTTTTGTTCTTATGTTAGTATAACGTCCAGAAAGTCATAGATGAAGTGTCTTTCTCCAGTTTGTCTTGATGTTATCATCGATAGGCAACAAAATAGCAATTTGTATTTTGTCCATCTCCAGCTGAACATAGATTCTTTTTTTTATTTGCAAAACATTTGGGAAGCTAGTGTTCTCTTAGATTAACAAGGCAGAAGCCTGGAAGCAAATTTCTCTCTCGTGCAAGCTTCCAGACATCTAGAGATGTAAGACATGTCAGAGCCTTACTTTCACAGCCCTTTCTCTCCCTAATTTGTTTCAGCTAGAGGTCAGCAGAAATCTCAGGGTTTCTCATGAGGATTAAAAAACACAAGAAAGGAAAAAGCTTAACAGACAAAAGAATAAAATCTGATTATAAGCTCTAAATCTTTTAATGGTTTCTTCTAAAAATTAAAAAGAAAAAAGATTTCATCAGTCTTAGTTTTATCTACTAGATTGCTTTATGGAGATTTACATGAAAGCTCTGCTGTACAAAAAAAACTATGTTAGAAAAAAGAATTCTATTTCTTTGTTTTTTATATGTTTTTTTTTAACTGTATATTCATCTAATAAGAAAGAGTTTGTTTTGTATGTCCACATGATATTTTTTTAAATTTTTATTTATTTTTTAAGTAGGAATTTTTTTTTCTTTCTATTTTTAATTTTTATTTGATCTTTAATCTTCCTGGGTAATTTTGATGAAGAAACAATCTTTATACATGCCCAAAAGCAAATCTGATTGATTTTGTGAATTATGATATTATATCCTTAAGATAAATTATTTCACCTTTCTTGATACAATATTGTGTATTTGTATAAGGTGAATTGAGTTGACTTTTATTAAAAGAAAGAAATAACTCGACACTGTTTAAAGATGAAGTAACAATATAACATTAGCCATTTGCATTGTATATTGCATGTGTTTTAATTCATATGGGTTAAGAAAGTATTTAAGCACTTGATAAGTGTGTGCAAAATTTCCCAGACCCCTTTCCTTCAATCATTTTTATATTTTTCAATTAAGACACTGGAAGCAAAACTTTGTATGTGTTTGAGATATTCAATTTTAAATTTTAGATGAAATCTCAGATGTGACCTTGACTGTGTTTCTCACAGTTGCCAGTAGGAGTGAAATCCTGTAAATTTCAGCTTGACACTGTTCCCTGTGTTAAGAGAATATTTTGTATGAATTTGTTTTCTTCAAGTAAAAGTTTTATGCAACATATTTTCTACATTTTTATACACTTATTCACTCAATATAACTTACAAGCACACAGAGATATGAGCTGTGCATTTTTTAGTTTTTTTTTCTTAGGATAAAACCTATAAGATAAAAAATATAAATGATATTATCAAATGAAAATGAAAAAACCAAGTGTAGGATAAAAAAAAAATCATTTATAGTTCGTTTCTCTTCTTATTTATTTTCTATTTAGTGCTAGTTACTAATATTTATAGATGCAGTCCTTTGAGGAGTTGTTTGGAATTCAGATTGCCTTCAAATGGTCTGAACTCCAAGGGTCCAACAAGATGAGGTTTTTAGATTTTAATTTAGGCATGGGCAGATCAACCTGTTTATTTTATGATCTGAAGTGCTGCAGCAAGTGAAAATGTTTGTGGAATAGATCAGATCATTTAGTCCATCTAGTTTTGAAAGACCAAAGGAAAAAAAGAAAAAAAAAAAGAAATAGTCCAAAAGAATATATATATATATATATAGCCAAACCTCTTTAATCAGGCACCCTTGGGACCAGGTCACTGCTGGACCACAAAGATTAAACAGAACTTAAGCAGGAAATAAAACACTCCCTAAAACAATGGTGGCCTGACAATTGTATTTAGCATGAAACAAACTTTTTGTGTGGTGTGTGTGTGTGTATATATATATATATATAGTATTTACATTAGTCGGACTATTGTCCTCATCTTTGTCGCCATATTTGTCACAACGTTTCGCCGTTTATACGCTCCGCCTTCTTCAGGTGGTTGGAATTTCGAACTGAACCCTTTATTTCGATCGCTGGGGTAGACTGTTCTAATTCCACGTGCCATGTTTGATGGATGTCAGTTATCAGTTATCTCCTGCTAATTTTCCCTCTGAAAGTTCTCCACTGCCTTAACCAGGAATTGAACTCACCTTCTTTGGGTCTGTCACTGGATCTAACCAACGCCTTTATCCACTGTGCCATGTGTCCTTGATATATATACACATAATAATAACACATTTCTCATAGCATTTTTTCGGATTACATCTCTATTTTCGTTGTCCTCTTATTACTGAGAAGTAAAAACAAGAACAAAATCTACTTCCATACCTGATGATGTCTGTAGGAACAGACAAAAGCTTGTAAAAAATTAAAAAGACCTTATGAAACTGGAATTTATAAACAGGGATCATATCATTCATATACAGGTTCGGGGTTGATGTATCTCATTTATATTGTTTGTGACGATGTATTCTCGCCATTTAAATCATTAACCTCTATATTTGATTTTGTATGAATGATTCATGAATATATATATATGATCTGATCTGGTTAGGATTAGGACCAAGAATATGTCTTATTTGAATTTCTTAATAAAAAAGAAATTTGGTTCGCGTGTTACAACAGATAGACATATTTTTAACTTGTCTGATTATGAGTTGTCTGTCTCCGAGAAGGTCGTCTTGTCTCGAGGTCTTGAGTTTTGTATTCCTCCTAAGAAAGTTGAGGTGTTTAGTAATTTCGAGGTCCTCCTTTCTCAATTATTAAAGCACCATTCTAACTCTGAGGACCATTTGCTTCGCCTTAAAGCCCGGTTAAAGGACTTGGCATACGGCATTGTAGACTCAAATGTTAACTCCTCTGGGTTTGTGTGGCAGAGGAGGCATTTTCAGACAGTTAGGTCATTAAAAACCAACCCAGACATCTATGTTACCAAGCCCGACAAAGGTGCTGGAGTTGTTATATTGAACCACTCCGACTATGTTGGCAAGATGCTATCTATTCTTGAGGATAGTAGTAAATTCCAGAAATTGGGTGATATTAGTTATGATGATACCCCAAGAACTGAAACTAGATTCCAAAAAAATTACTGGAATTTTATAAAAGTAATTTTCTATCAAAAGAAATTTACAATAATATTCGTCCTGTTGGTACCCAACGTCCTAGGATGTATGGGTTACCAAAAATTCACAAAGAGGGCGTTCCACTTTTATCTATGTTGGGTTCTGCCCAACATAATCTTGCCAAGTGGTTATTGGATGTTCTTGATCCGGTTTTAGAATTCTACTCGGAGTATTGTGTGCCTGACTCGTTTAAGTTTGTTGATTATATACAAAATTTAAATCCAAACAGTGACACTGAGTATTTTGTGTTGTTTGATATAAGTAGTTTGTTCACGAATGTTCCAATTGATGAAACTATTGACATTTGTGCGGACTTCTTGTATCGTGGCCCTGGTAAATCTCCGTTGTTTCCTGAGAGTGTGTTTGTTGAATTGTTGGGGATGGCGACTCCTTCAGTTTTGACAATTGCATGTATCAGCAAATCAACGGGGTGGCGATGGGTAGTCCCTTGGGTCCTGTGATGGCCAACATTTTTGTTGGTTTTCATGAAAGGCGACTATTTGAGAGGGTTAACAAACCGTATTGTTACTTCCGCTATGTTGATGATACATTCGCATCATTTTCTAATAGTGCAATAGCGGAAGTGTTCTTTTCATTATTAAATAATCTCCATCCTGCACTTAAATTTACAATGGAGGTTGAAGAGAACAATCGTTTATCTTTTCTTGATGTCCTTGTGGAGAGAACTCCCTCGGGGTTTCTTAACGAGCGTGTACCGAAGCCCACTTTTACAGGACTTTATCTGGCCTGGGACTCTTTTTGCTCCCAGAGCCAGAAAGGTTAACCTTATAAGTTGTCTTACCCATAGGGCATTGAAGATTTGTTCTGAGTGTAGACTCTATGCCTCATTGAGAACAATTAAGGAATTGTTTCTTAAGAACAGTTACCCCTAATCAGTTATTAAAACTGTCATTGAACGCAAGATCAGGAAGTTCAATGAAATTAAGAAATATGGGCCTTCAAATGTCCTATATATGTCAGGCTCCCTTGGATTGGTCCTGAGAGTCAGACATACGCCGATAAGATCTCTTCATCCATTAAACGGTGTTATAATGCCGTTACAGTCAGGAACATATTTACTACCAGGAGGGCTTTCCCCCTTGCCGTAAGGATGTTTTGCCTACCTACCATAATAATTTAGTTATTTATCAATTTAAATGTCGATGCGGGCTCGACTATGTGGGCAAAAAATCCAGAGGCTTGAGGTTAGAATCGCCCAACATGTCCCGGGCTGCGTGCAAGCAGGCATGAGTTTGTGACATCCGGATGTTCGCAGACTCATGCCTCTGCTATCGGTGAACATCTATTAAATTCTGGTGTTTGTAGGACTGAGTATTCTCCCCATTTCTTTTCGGTATTGCATTAGGGCTAGGAACAGACTCCACCTCGACATTTTGGAGTCTGTTATTATCAACATACGTAGGCCTGCCCCTCTGCGCATACAACGGAGATGAAGTTTAAGTTGGCCTTATTTGGGGAACGGTTTACATGATTTGAGATAAAACATTTTTTTTTACCATTCTGTTTTTATTACGGTATTAATAAAAATTTTCTTGTTAGTACTCCGTTTTAGATTACCGACGATTGTGTTTGAAAATGTGTCGGTCGAAAGGTACCTTTTACATTTTATGTTTTAAACGTGGATATTGTTGTATCTTATGTTTAATATGATCCCATATTTTTTATTCCTCAAATGTCTGATTAGATTTGGCAGTACTAGAAATCTGTTTAAATATATATATATATATATATATACACACATATAATAATCACAAAGAAAACGTTAAATGTTCATTTTGGTTATAATTTACTTATTGAATATCAAAGATATTCACTCTTCAGACCAAAGTCTCTTAGCAAATGGAGACAATACACTGGACAGCAGATAGATTGACAGGAGGAAGGGAAAGCAAGAGAGAAGATATGAGAGAAGGAGTGGGAAGAGAAAAGTGATGGGTGGACAGGCACCTTTAAACAGATGAGATAGAGGAAAGGATGGATGGGTAGTAATAACCCTAAACAGACTGATCTGGCTAAGGATATTTTTTTTAAAGTTTGAAACTTCGTACATTGAGTTATACAGCAAATTGACCACTATGCCCATTGTTTTAGGCAACCTAATTACAGATTAGTTAGTCTAATAAAAGGGCCCTTAATACAAATAATAAATAGACATTACAATAATGATAATAATATCCAACATATCAGTCAATTTGCTGTATAACTCAATATGCAAAATTCCAAAGTTTAAACAAAAAGATTCTTGGTTGAGTTAGTCTATTTAGGCTTACTGCTACCTATCCATCCTTTCCTCTATTTCGGTCTGTTTAAAAGTGCCTGTCCACCCATCACTTTTCTCCTTCTTCTCCTTCTCTCATATCATCTCTCTTGCTTTCCTTTCTCCCTGTCAATCTATCAGGTCATCCCATAAGTTCTGTCCGAATTTTAACTTTTTGTTAAAATGAACGAAATTTAAAAAGCATTTTATAATGCCTAATGCTGAACATTATTTTTATGTTTAGATGCATTTAAACTGATCAAATTTTATTTCAGAGAACAATAAAATTAAGTTTTGTTTGATTAAAACCCTGCTAACATGGAAGTACCCAAGAATCATTTGAGGCATATAATACTTTATGAGTTCAAGAAAGGAAACTCAGCAACCGAAGTAGCTAGAAACATTCACTCAGTTTATGGAGAGGAATGTGTGAATGAAAAAACTTGCAGAAGATGGTTTGCAAAATGCAGAGGTGGAGATTTCACCCTTGAAGATGAAGATTGAACCAGACGTCCAGTTGAGTTTGATGAAAAGCTTTTTGAAGCAGCCCTTGAAGAAAATCCTACTTTATCCATTGAGGAATTGGCAATGGTTCTCAGTTCAAACCATACAACTGTTCATCGTCATCTTCAACAACTTGGAAAAGTTCCTAAACTTGGAAAATGGGTGCCTCATGAATTGTCTGAAAACAACCTCAAATCCCGAGTTGGCATCTGCTCTTCTCTCCATTCTCGCCAACTTGTTTCACCTTTTTTGGATAGACTTGTGACTGGCGACGAAAAATAGATCTTTTATTGAAATGTTAAGCATCGTAGACAGTGGCTTGGTAAAGGGGAAGGACCCCAGCCACAGCCGAGAAGAGAACTTCATGGGTAAAAGGTTCTTCTTTCAATCTGGTGGAATCGCCAAAGAATAATCCACTTTGAATTCTTACCACCTAATGCAACAATTAATGCTCAAATATACTGTCAGCAATTAGAACGTTTGAACCAAGCTTTGAGGAAAAAAAGACCTGCTCTAGTGAATCGAAAAGGGGTGATGTTTCATCAGGACAATGCGCGACCCCACACAGCAAGAATCACGTCACAAAAGATCGAAGAACTTGGTTGGGAGAAAATTCCTCATCCACCTTATTCTCCCAATCTTGCTCCTTCAGACTACCATTTGTTTTGTAGCTTACAGAATCATTTGGAAGAAACAGCTTTTGTAACACAGGAAGAGGTTAAAACTGACATTTGTGAGTTTTTCAAATCAAAGCCGAAAGAATTTTACAGTAATGGAATTAGTAAGCTTGTTAATAGATGGAAGGAAGTCATAGTTAATCAGGGAAAATACATTGTTGATTGAATCTGTAATTAAATGTAGCATTTGGTCACTTGTTTTCTTTATTCAAAATTCGGACAGAACTTATGGGATGACCTGATAATATATCAGTCATCCAGGGTATTGTCTCCATTTACTAAGTGTCTGAAGAGTGAATATCGAAGATATTCACAAAATAAATTACAACCAAAATTAATATTTAAGGTTTTCTTTATTATTATTATTATTATTATTATTATTTATTATTGTCTGTAATCTTCATTGAACTTTCCCTGGATTAATATTCTCTTTGGAATTATCCCTACCAGTCACAAACTGGTAATATTTATATTCTGTAAGGTTCTACTCTTCTCCACTCCATTACACTCTGTTTCTCTTTTCTTTTCTCTCTCCACTGCATAATTATCAACCCTCTTACCTTCCTACATGTGGTTCTATTCTTCCATTCTATTAATTCATAAGTGAATAATAGTTTCTCTATTATTATTGTTATGTTGTTAGTTTTTGTGATTTTGCCATGTACCACTTCATTCAATGTTTTCTCCAAGTGTCCATTCTTTGCCTTGTATTCTTTATTCCAGTCTAAATTCTATTAAAGTTATCCATCAGATTCTGTGCTTGAATTTCATTCTGCTATCTTTATTTTTTTTTTTTTTTTGTGTGTGTGTGTGTGTGTAATTCTTATATTTCTAATTTTCCAATCTATTGTTTTATTTCTTAAAGTGTATTTTTATAATAAATTCATAATGGAATCATTGTATTCAGTTATTCTTTTGCACTGTGACTCTATTCCTTTTATTCCTGCAAAACCTCTTTTCCTGTTCTTATCATACTTTAGTATTTCATTGTTCTATTCACTTCTTTCATCACAAAGAAATTTATCCATGCCTTATTTTGTCAGTTATTTCATAAGACCACAAAAGACTTGCTAAAGATTGATAGCCACTCCTTCTCTACCTGAAGGCTTTTAAAGCTAAACTCCACCACTATGCCATGACTCTGCAGTACCAATCCAATCCACCCAACAATCATTTTGCTTCATTGTTTTGACCACAGAATTATATGAAGCTACTTTCTTTGATACAATCTCGGGTTCTCTTTATCTGATATCATTATGTCATCTCAACTCAGACAGGCATGTAATACTTTGGCTTGCTTGTTGATCATCAGTGTTCACTTTCTCTCTTACCTACTTCAGCTTCTAACCAATGACTATTGTACTCAAATAGTTCAACAGGTCTTATATTTCTCAATCTCTTGGCATGTTCTTATCTCATGCTTTTCTCTCTCTTTCTATTAGACTTCTTCCTCTCCCTCTTTTGGTTGCCTTATTCTCCTTCAGATCTTCTCCTCTTATTTCTACTTTGCTTTCTTTTCCACTTTTAACCATTCAGTCTATCTCTTTTTCCATATTCTTTTATTCTTTGAACCTTTTTACTTTTCCTTCACTCCTTTGTCATTCTTGTCCCTACATTTCCCTTTCAGTCCCCTATTTCGCTACAATTTTCTTTGCCATTTTATTCCACCCATTTGCACTGTCTTTCCTTTACTTTTCATTAGTTTGATTGTTATTTTTTCTTCTGTTATCTCCTCTCACTTCCTTCATCCTATTTCTTTCATCATCTATCTTGAGACCTTTCTTTTTCATTTCTGCTTCATTACTTCTTCTCTCTTTTCTGTAGTCTTTGTTTCATTAATATTTTATTTTTCATGGATTTTTTCCCCTCATTTATATATCTTAGATCTCATTCTTTTACCTTCTTCATTCCTTCTTCTTAACTTTCTCATTCATTCTTCCCACCCCCATAGATATGTTCCCCTCTAACTCACCATATTCTATCTTTTGCACTTCAAACTTTTCATTGTTGCTTGAAATCTATCCTAAAGTATTTGATGTTTCCTAAAGAGTTGCTGTTGGTATTTGTATATGTGCCTACACCCTCACAAACTGACTAGCCAAACAACTAGCCAGTGTCCTGAACTCCCTCATTGAGTTTTCTCATCTCCAACTTTATAATTCTGCTTGACCAGTTGACAGCAACTGACCTCTTCAGTCTGCTCCACCTGTTAGCAATCACTGGTGCTCAGTGGTGCTTGAACTGCCACCTTCTGCTCTTTCATTTCTTTCTTTGCAAAGAGACTGAAGCTTGCTGCTGCTTTTACTCAGCACACGATTTCTACTCCAGCCGGCTACATTGTTTCTCTTCTTCTTGCCTCATTATTGCAAGCCATCATTGCTTTAGTTTTCCTGTCATTTATCCTACTCCTCCTCCTCCTTTTATATATATATATATATATATATATATAAGAGAGAGAAATAAGTTTGTGAATGCTGTTGTGAAGATATCTCAGTTTTCAGAGGAATCTCTTGTCAGATTGGCAGAATTATTTCAAGTGAAAAACTTAATTCACAAATGTTGTCCCTTTAAGAAATTAATGCTATTCAATATCTGTTATTGATATTGTTTGTTAATCTCCTCTTATCTTAATGTAAACATACTGCTCAGCTGAAAAATAAAGTTGTTTAAAGAGTTTATTTTAGATTTCACAAAAGATTTTCAGTTCAATATTTAGCTTTTTAAATAATCACATCTTTGAATCTAATAATGGTGCCCAATGTAAATAAATATCTCAATATCAATAACCAGCTGGACATTCATAATATTGAGTCATTCACAGTCATAAAAGAAGAATTTGTTCAGCTTCAGTAGATATGTTAGACTTTGCATTTTGTATGTTTTATTGAATATTTTCTTTTATCAGACATAATTTCATGGCACAAAGAAATTGTTGTCTCTATTCTCTATCCAATTATTTACTAAGTTTAGTTTGATATAAGGCCACAAATATGAGACACCAAACGCAGATCAAACTCACTACTTAGTAATAATAATCAGTGAGGCTGTTACACTATAATGAGGCATCTTTAGGCACATGGCCATAAGAATAGGGCACTTAATGAGCTTGTGAACCATTATACAATGATATGATGTCCTTTCTATTCTCTATCAGGAAAGGAAATAGAAAGAATTTCTTACAAAACAGACATTAATGGAACTAAAAGTTATTCTTTTGATTGTGGTAGTAAGACTTTGATCCATTATTTTAGGTTCAGTCTAATTGTCTCAATCCTAACTCTTTTCTGTTTCTACTCTTATTTAGTAATAATAACTATTTATAATTATGACTTAACTATTAAAATAATTGCATGTGACACACACACACACACACACACACAGATTTAACTATAAACATTTTGTTATATATCTTGTGTGTATGTACACTGAATATGTATTTGTATGCATAGATATTGCACATATGTAAAATAACTTCTCTCTGAAACTCACTAAAAGCCAATGTTGGCATTATTTCTTTATTTCTCTTTCATTGTTCTTTCAAAATATTTTTAAAGGCCAACATTTTGATATGCAGCCCATGTTCTTTTACTATTGAATAAATTGTTTTTCTCTCTCCTCCCTCTTTGTCTCAGCACAAAATTTGACCTATTAATATTTTAGCTGTATGCTTGAACTTTGTTCTGATACTCTGTTTTCTATTGAATCAAGTATTAACCTTACCATCCAGTTCCATTAGAGCACAGGTGGCAGTGACACTGCAACTCCTGCTACCCTTAAAACAATAATCTGTCCCAAATTCAGTTTATCACTATTTTTTTTATCTTCGTATACTTTCTTTACACGCAGTAATGTCAACTGGACACAATTTGGGCCACAAATAAAGACATCTCCTTTATTCTTGACTTATGTATTTAGTTCAGATATTCAATGCTAATGATAAATTTGGCACCAACAGGTACAGTATTGAGTTGATGGCATTTATATCACCACTACATAATGGTTACTTACATAACTGCCTTCAGTAAATTTACACCTGTTGTCACATTACTGTTGTGTAGTTGATATAATTGAATAGTCAACAATTTAATTCTGAAATGGAAATCAGTGTTGTGAAAAAGAATTTACAGCTTTGCCAGTAACTCACTTAGCATATGATCTTTCAGTAAGTTTATATGGTATTTCCAAGGAGGAAATAATTTGAATAATAATATATCTAACTACAAAGCATGTAATCAACATTTAAAATGTGCCTGATTTAGTTAAAATTGACAGTATCCTGTGGAAACAATTGAATATTATATAAATTAGAAAGATTCTGAAAATGAATAATTGTTTGTGATGAAGTATAACATATAGTTGTCAGCTCTTAAATTATTTAAAAACTGTTTGCATGGATTTTTATCAGACAGGTATGACAAAAACCTTTTTTTTTTTTCAGTTTTGTTCTCCAATTAAAAAGCAATTATGATGTGATGAGACCAACATGATCAATGACAAATATTTATAAAATTTTATGTCCCAATCATTACAAGTTTTGGGTTGTGCAAAACTTTTAAACACAGATATAATATATATATATATATATATATATATATATATATATATAAAAACAAGAGGAAAAAGCTATTCTTAGCCAATATGTTTTGTTCTCTCAGGCATTTCATTAAGGCAATGTGGAGGCCAAAATGCGTTGGCTAAGAATAGTTTTACCTTTTGTTTTTTTATTCCTTTACAGATACACTCTATCTGAAAATGATATACGAGACCCAGTTTCAAATCTCACCACAGCACCTTTGGAAATTGCCTGCAAACCATACCCCAGGTTGACCCAAGTCTTGGGAGTGAAATTGGGTAGGCAGAACACTTGGAGGACCATTGATAGCTGTGGTTGCATGAAGTCACAAGTCATCATGACCAAGGGTTTGAGTGTGCTGGTCCTGTTCAGGTTATTGATCACACTAGATAATATGCTCTCTCAGAAATCATAACTAAGGTCTGCTCAGCATAGTTGCAGTATAAACCACAGCTGGACTCTGTGGGTGTTGAACAAACACAAATGTGCTTGAGCAAACATCTGAATTAACTATTGGTTAGCCACCCTAGTAGACACGTATCCTCAAATACAAGTGGCCAGCTATTATTATTATTTTATATATATATATATATATATATATATATATATATATATATATATATATAATGAACATTTTATGTATATTTTTCCAGAATTCTTACTTCAAAAGTAGAAACTGGAATGCACAGTTGAAAACTTTTACATGCTTCTTATATATATACATACACACAAGTGGGGAGGTTGGGATAATCATTGTACTGTTTAAAGAGAATGATTAAGCACATTCATCAGGATTATAAATAACTAGCAGTAGAGCCTGGCGTTGCCCGGGGATATAACAGTAAGAGATAGATCAAGTATCCACCATCCTAAAGACTGAAAAATAAAATTGACAAAGCTTATTGTTTAAGGTTGACGGACACGCATGTCTTAATTAGTTTTTTTTTTTTTTTTTTACGAATTGATCAAACTCAAACAAAAACATTGTTTTCAATCGTTATGAATCTCTACCGATTGAATAGAATTTTATTATAAACAATTGTCTTGTAAATGGAATTTTTAAAGCATTCTGAATGTAAAAATAAAGAAAAAAGTGTGCAAGACAATAAGAAACACTACATGCCAAAAAAAAAAAAAAGTGAAGTTTTGTTGAAATCGGTTGAAAAATGTAGGTAGCCTTTCTGTAATCTTTTAGTTTTACAATTTATGATTTTTACTTATTGAATACAGTAAAAAAAATTGCATATTTTGCTTGTGGTGATTCATAATTAGAATTCTGATTTAAATATATTTTCCACTCGTTGTTTCTAATACAAAAAATATTAACTTTATTTGGGTTTATTAATTATGATCTAAAATCTTATTCATTTAGTAGCCTTTCTGTAATAATAATCTTTTACAATTTATGATTTTGACTTATTGAATACAGTAAAAAAAATTGGACACCATGTGTATTTAAAGTAGTTTCCGGTTATTATTTTTAGTTAGGACTTGTGTATGTTTAGATTTCATTATCTTTCCCTAAAGATAAAGAATTTATCCGATGTTTGTATTCGTACAATCAGTAGAGATTGTTAGATTATTGTTTAAGGTTGACGGACACGCATGTCTTAATTAGTTTTTTTTTTATTTTTTACGAATTGGTCAAACCCAAATTCAAACAAAAACATTGTTTTCAATTGTTATGAGTCTCCCGATTGAATAGAATTTTATTATAAATAATTGTCTTGTAAATGGAATTTTTAAAGCATTCTGAATGTTAAAAATAAAGAAAAAAGTGTGCAAGGGAATAAGAAACACTACCTACCCCAAAAAAAAAAGTGAAGTTTTGTTTTATCGGCTGAAAAATATAGGAAATCTGCTCCCATATTTAAAGGAACCCACACAAACAAAGAAACCGATGTGAGTTGTCCCCCTTCCATTTTCACAATGTCTCTTAATCGTGTTTTCAAATTGATTTTGTGCAAAAACAATTATATTTTTCCCATTTTTGGGAATTCATTCAGTTGGCATAGATGTTAATTTTTGGAGCAGTGAAGGATTAGGCCAAATTGAAAGTAGGAAGAAAAGAAAATAATAAAAAATATGGGAAAATAGTTGCAAGAGAACACCACATGTCTTTGGTTAAATATCTGGAAAGCTATCTTTTTCTCATGATTTTATATTTCATTCTGTTTTTGTTAGGCTTTCTACAATTCACAGGCTTTTATAAAGTAGATTGATATAATCTGAAGCTCTTCTGAAGGACAACATGGAGCATCAATAATATGAAGGTCAACTGCATAAAAGAATAGTTAGACATCCATGGAAAAAATAATAATTCTTCCTAACACACTTTAAATGTTCCTGATAAGTAGGAATTAGGGAAACTTATAAAACAAAGGTGCTGCTGTT